CAGTGAAAGCAAATTTGAATTAATTTTACATTACCAGAAACAACTTTACGAGACGATGCTTTGAAAAACAAATGCGGTGCGGTGCTTCAAGGCAAAGTAGCCAGAATTACGATAGAATTAGAAACTTCTAATTTCCAAGATGGCAAGAGTGAAAACTGTTTTTGTGAGCATGCTTTAACGAGCGTTTTTCCAGAAAAATGGAAATTTACAAGGAGAAAAAGGGAGAGATGGTTTTTTTAGGAAGTTGGTTATTGGTAATAAAGACAATGAAACTTCTCAATAGGTTATTGCAAGTCGCTACAGCATTGAGAGAGAAGATAGGGACAAAGAGTGTAGGAATCTTTTTTTCCAGAGAAGTGCAGTTTCCTGGAAAAATTATTTTGGGAAGAAGATTTTGAGATGTTGTGTGTAGTTGCTGAAATATAAAAAAAACGGGCTTCCAGTAAAATAACAACAGTAGCTTTGACACCTCAAGGGGATCTGTTATTGAAGGTCTTGGATAATAATGAAAGTTTTGATTGAAAAAAACAAGTGCCACCATTAATTATGTATAATTTGTAACGAGCAAAGTAATAAACTTTGTGAAATGTTGGTATGCTCGACTTTATTTATTTAAGTTCGCTGAACGTTTCTCTCTTCACAAAAAGGGGATGGAGTTCGTGGGTGATGTTCATAAAAACATAGACAACTTGAATATGGCCAACCCGTAGACGATATCCTTTGCATTGCATATCATGGCAATTGAAAAATTGTCAAAGAACAAAAAGTTCAAACTGTTAATTGATTAATTTCCATATGCCGTGAAGCTAAAATTGTTCAAGTTGAAAGCCTGCATTGGAAGTGTGCTTTATGCCATTAGAAGGCCTACGGCCTAGCCTTCAAATTTTGAACTTATTTCAGGATCGGCAAAATTAATTCTGATATAAAGACCCAAATTGTATGTTTTATTTTAAAGTTTTAAAGCTGAAATTGCAAGTCAACGAATACACGCAACTCTGCTGTGTTCCACTTCAAGATCAACCTTGCCTATCACAACAACCAAAAATTCAGCTACCGTCGAATTGAATTGATTGAAACTAGCCCCAAAGGAATGCAGATTCGAGCAGAATTGGCCAATCAGAAGGCAGTCATCAATTGAATAGGCAAGTCATGAGAGGCATTTGATTGGTGCATTCTCTTCTAGTTTGGGGCTAGCCCCAAAAGCTCGGGAGATAGTTTCTGGTACGCATGTCTGTCTAGTTTTCAAAACAACTGCGGGCAGTCGGACCTAAACAAACTGAAATTGGACGGACGGTGAGACTCGAAGCAACGAAATTATTGAACAGTGCTAAATTAATAATGGGTGTTAATTTTATTTACGTTTATAAATCTAAAACTTATTTTTGGAAAACTTTGGTGGGGCTGAGCCCCACTAGTCCCAATGCACGAGCCACCGCTGATTAATTCAAGTCTTAAAATTGAATTCATTACTTTATGAGGCCCCATAGACCTCGGTGTATTCCTTGGAAATTAAGCAACTAAAGGATTTGTCAGATTACTATTTTCTTTATATCTTAACTTTACTCTTTTTATTTGCTTAAAAATACATTTTTGCAAAAAATGTGGGGGGGGGGGCTGAAGCCTCTAGCTCTTCACCTGGCGCCGCCTTTGTTTCATCGGTCGATCTCGAACAGAGAAAATTCTTGACAAGTCATGGGAAATGTACTGCGCTTCTTTAAGCATTACTTTTAAACATTATTTAAATAATTCCCTTTCGTATCCCGTTTTTAGAAGCAATTTGATAGAATGATTATCATAGTATCCCCATTACGACGAATGTAGTTGAAAATACTTGCATTTTGATACAAAACTTCGTTTCTTCTATATTTCGTCGCCTCTCATTTATTTTAGGACTGCCTTTTACCAAATAACTATTTTCTTTTCAACTTATTTCTTTCTTATGCTTCTCTTTGAGCTACAGTTCAGAAGGTCATTTGAGTCAAAACTTCAATTTTCACAAATGATTCAAATTTTCTCAGATTAACTTAGCTTTCTACCAACAGCTTTAAATTTTCCGACTGTCCTCAAATTTTCCGACTGGATGAAAGATTGGGGGTGTCACACCCTCCATAACGTTAAAAGTTTTACGTTAAAACCTTTACGTTAAAATTTTCATGCATAAGAGATAATCACCACGTTAGTCAAGTCAACAATGTATCCTCTCAGCTCTACATTAGAAAAAAGAGCAAAATCATTTTTTTTCTTACTATTCAGTCAAGTTTCCTTGCTTTCTTTAAATGAATCCAATAATCTTTTAATAATCTGGATTTAAAACGTTCATTCGCGGCCAGACCTGTTGGGACTTCTCGACAACAAAAGGAAAACATTGCGTCGCACAAATACTTCCTGTTTGTGAAGAAGAGGATAGTTTTGTCATAATCAATTTGCCATGCAACACATAAAGCCAGATACATGAAAATCATATTCAAGTCAAAAAAATCTTGCAGCGAACTTATCTTAAACTTACAGAGAGAAGTTTTCGTCATGCGTGGAGCAATCTGCGTTTTGCAGTCCTTTGAAATTTCCCTTGATATGCAAACGACTGAGATCGGCTTCAGAATACACCATGCTCAGCATTAAATTCGTTTTACAATGTATTTTAGCTACTACAAAAATCAAAACAAATGGTCATTTATTTGCTGTAAACCCACAAAATTGAATTTCACCATTACAAGCTTGATAATGACAAAGAAATGGTTGTACTTACTTTTTGTTGCGATTGTCAGGGCCGTCGCTACGGGAGGGGGTGTTGGGGGGTCGGGGGTGGTATGGGGTGTGATGGGTGGGGGTGGTAATTGTGAGAGGAAACTCCCCAACGTACTATCTGATTGATGACTCATATAAAATCAGGTTTATTCTGATAATTGTGTTGCCTAAGTGTTAAATGATATCCTTATCGCGTTCTTGAGACATACGAAGAAATAATATATTTGATTAAATATAAGTCAGAATATGGTAAAGGATATCTAAACAGCACTGATAAGTGAGTGACAGGAAAGACAAAAATCAAGAACCTAACATAATGTCAGATATCTAACTTGCACTCATCCCACAGCCACTAACATTAATTTAACATATTATAAAGCATCCAAAATCATATCAACGGAAATTTTCAAAAACTAATTTCTTCGACGCCCTTTATTTTATCGCAGTTTGAAAAACCAAAAAGATTGATGGTTTCTGGTGTATAAACATGTTATTAGTTTTTAGCAGATTTTTTTGAAAGCAGACGATATCTGTGTTTGGATTCAAAGGCGCTCACAAGGACTTCCGACTTGAAGCTCGCGACTATTGATCCCAGCTGATCCTGAAGAAATCCAACACATCATTGTGGCAACATCTTGTCCTCTGTGTGCCGATATTTTATCTGAAAATCAGTTCAAATTTTTATTCTTCGAATTCATACCATTTCATCAACGGACGTAACTGTATCCCAAATATCATATCCGCCCAATTCTTTGAATGCACCTAGTCCTCGATTTCTAATCGATAGATAATGCAATTTTCTGATTGACGATAGCCCCAACCAATCATGAAAACGAGTCTCAAAGATTCTATCTGTTACAATCGTCAAGTCGAGATCAGTCTCTTTTTCATCTTCAAATTCTGAGTTTGTTTCGCATTCGTCGTTATAATCCAAATCCGATATTGCGATTGACTCGAAACTTGATCCCCACGATGAATCTGATCCACATTCGGATTCTACATCAGAAAAATCAATGGAAGAGCAATCTGATTCGAAATCCGATAGTACAGAGACGATTGTCAAATCTGATTCTGGATCTGGGAAAAAATCAGAGGCAGATTCGAGTTCATAAGAATTTTTATCAATCTGTCCTTGGTTGATCATGGTTACGTCGTGGACCAGTGAATCGGATGTTACAGCATTGGTGGCGGAAAATATGTTGTAGCTTTTCGGCACCTGAAAAAAGAATGAAAATCATAATCAGAATCAATTCAGTTTGTGTCTGCTTCTTCATTTAGTATAAGGATTCAATTACCAGGATGTGTGCATTACAAGAATCAAAGACAAACTCTACTTCATTGAGAAAGTATTTAGAAAAGAGTTCAGTAGAAAGTGATCGAAAAAAGCAAACAATTGAAATGAAAATGTAAACAATTCAATAACAAAATATTGAAGGGAATGAATAGATTGAAATAATTACTAACCATCTTTGTCTGGCATCCTCTTGGTGTCGATCTCGCAAATGGTTGGGAAATATCGAGACAAGGCTTGATATCTGAAAGGAAAGATTTGAAAGCTACTTTTAGAAGAATTTACTACGCGTGGAACCACTTTTATCAATTTCTTTGAGTTATAAAGTTGTCAGTCCTTGTTATTTCTTCTTCATAAATCTTCATTTAAATGATTTTCAGTCAGCGTATAAAACAAAGCGAGGTTACAAATACGTGAGTACTCGTCAGTACAGTGGTCGCATATCTAAGTACCATCACATCGCCATTCTAATAATTTTACAAACCATGATTTTATAATCAATTTTTTTAACACTTTAGCTTCAGAACACCAATAATTATTTTCAATACTTCACTCTCACCTGCAACTGTGTTGGTTCTCTTTGACCTTGTAGAAGAATTCAGTCTTTGCTTATTCTTCCAATTTCTTGTCAACGAACGCTTTGTGCATTTTGCTGTGTATTTTAAAAAGCAATTTCAAACATAGAAACAGATTTAACTTACTTTTCAGAAACGTCAAATTTGCTTTTTATTTTGCTTTGTTTAAATTTATTCAGGCTCTTTGTTAAAAGATTAAACAAAAGAACAGACAAAAAAGATATTCTTAACATCATTAGATCTTAGCATCGTCTGTAGACGATATCATTTGGATCTTAAAAAAGCTTAGAAAATTGAAAGGCACTTACAGATCATACTTTTACAAAGATAACAAAACTGTTAGCAACAACATGAAAAGTAAAAGCTTTAATAACTCACCATCTTCAACACTGCATTTTGAAAAACAAATTCCCATCTTGATTTCGATTGGCGTTCACAAGATGGCAGACGTCTCTAACAATGAATGTTGAAATGACTTCCCAAGGTTTGGAAAATAAAAACTTTGTTTTCCTTTTCGAAAATGGCAGTGGCCAGTATTACCTCAGATGCTGAATCGATCTGAAATTCTGCTTTAATAACCGATGAATCGCCTTTTATATACAAAGAGCGTAACCAATAAATTTGACGTCACAATCTCAGAAATGATCGCTGACGCAACAATTGAAAACTTGCATAGTAATAAGAGATGTGTAGAAAATTAAGAAATTCGCAGTGAAAGCAAATTTGAATTAATTTTACATTACCAGAAACAACTTTACGAGACGATGCTTTGAAAAACAAATGCGGTGCGGTGCTTCAAGGCAAAGTAGCCAGAATTACGATAGAATTAGAAACTTCTAATTTCCAAGATGGCAAGAGTGAAAACTGTTTTTGTGAGCATGCTTTAACGAGCGTTTTTCCAGAAAAATGGAAATTTACAAGGAGAAAAAGGGAGAGATGGTTTTTTTAGGAAGTTGGTTATTGGTAATAAAGACAATGAAACTTCTCAATAGGTTATTGCAAGTCGCTACAGCATTGAGAGAGAAGATAGGGACAAAGAGTGTAGGAATCTTTTTTTCCAGAGAAGTGCAGTTTCCTGGAAAAATTATTTTGGGAAGAAGATTTTGAGATGTTGTGTGTAGTTGCTGAAATATAAAAAAAACGGGCTTCCAGTAAAATAACAACAGTAGCTTTGACACCTCAAGGGGATCTGTTATTGAAGGTCTTGGATAATAATGAAAGTTTTGATTGAAAAAAACAAGTGCCACCATTAATTATGTATAATTTGTAACGAGCAAAGTAATAAACTTTGTGAAATGTTGGTATGCTCGACTTTATTTATTTAAGTTCGCTGAACGTTTCTCTCTTCACAAAAAGGGGATGGAGTTCGTGGGTGATGTTCATAAAAACATAGACAACTTGAATATGGC